CTATTTTTGAAACATCTGTGTACTTTTTGTTGTCAATTTAACATTTCGACAGATCTGCAGGATCTGCTGCGTTTTTGGCACCAATTTTTATCAACAATTTCGACAGATTCTGCTTGTTACTCGTTGCCACTTTGTCAATATAGTCTTCGAACTGATGTTGAATCACTGAAATATTTTCTGAATTTATGCTTATTTGTATAATGTTTGCAATAACAAAATATGTTTCTCATTTGCGGCCTTTTACAAACAAAAATTGTTGCCTACATTTGCCTCAGCAGAAATGGTTAGCTGGGAAATGAATTTATATGTATGTTTGTTTCATAGAAAAAGAAAATTTTAAGAATCTATTGGAAAATAATAGAAAAATATAATAATTTTTATACATTTATAATAAGAACAAAAGAAATATATATTTAACGATTTTTAGAATAACATAAAGTTGACGGTAAACAGTATACTTGAAAAAATCAAATATGAAGAAATTGATGATAGTGACAAACTTAGAATATGTTTACGACAAGAAGCTGCAAGATGGGCATGTTTTTCGGTGACATCAATTGTAAGAAAGAAGCCAACAAAAATTAAAACAACATCTCCAAGATCCTACAAAACACAAGTAAATATTGTTACATATTTTTAGCCTTTTTAATCAAATTCTTCAGGTATATCGCCTAAAATGTTTAAATAATTTGATCCTTAATAAGAAAATATAATTTTTGTTATATTTTAGACTTTTGCCATGGTGGAAGGAATGGACATATTGTAAAGGTTTGATGATAACTACCAAAGAAGAGACATCTTGGCAATTAGTGTATAATATAGGATTGGAAAAATCTGACACTAAATTTTTAGAATACTTGGCTTGCCCTGAAGATACTGGTGTCATTTGATTATTTAAATTATATAAACAATTCTACAGAACAGGAATATCAATATCTTTTTAACGGTTTTTTACATATTATTACAAAGCATGCGAAGAATCAAATTATACTGGAGTACATATTAGATTATTTTAACGACATAAAACCAGAGTAATGTGACATATTTTTATAAATATTGTGTACAAAAGTTTATTATGTGTATTATGCACATTTGTTTTTATTTTTAGACAAGTTGATACAACTGCAGCTTTAATTATTATTATTAATAACATATATTCTAAAAATCAAATTCGGGTAAAAATTTTACATGTTTATATATGTGTACAAAATGTGATAATAATGTGATATTAATAATTATTATTTAATGTTTAAAAATTTTAATAATGCTACAAAAACGTTACATTTTAATAATGAAAAATAAAACATTTTAGCATATAAACGAATACGTTGAAAGGTTGGAGGCCCTAACAAAGTTAGTTGAAAGAATGACTAACGCAAAAGATTTATTTAACAGTTCTCAAATAGAAAAGGTAAATTTAATAAATATTATTATGGAAAGTAAAAGAAAAGAAAATATTGTTCTATCTTATTAATTTCTGAATACTAATTTTATATTTGTTTTGTTGATTATATAAAGAGTATATTGATTTTATTGTGTACAAATCTTTGTTTATATATATTAGATCATATTGGAGAATTTTTGCAAAATTCGATGCAAGCTATCAATTCGCAACAAACAAATCGAAAGACAGAAACAGTATTTTGATAGATTTTTCTCTTAGTGACAAATATAAAAATTGCAACTTTGTATGCGTGAATATATTTCATATGAATAATTTTTATATTGTATGTACTATTTACTTTACTGCTTTAATTATTATTGTTTATTTAAATGTATTATTATATTCGATGCTTCTGTGTATTTACAAATCTTTATGACTGAAAGCATCAAGTTTTTGAACTATATTATTGCCTGTGTTCACAAGAAAGTAGACCATATAATATTACTATAAATTTTTTGTTAAATGTAAAATAAAAATAAATGTATATAAATATAAATAATATATTTACAATATATATATATATATATATATATATATATATTGAATGATAATGCACTATCTATTTATTTTGAATTACATATTGACTAGTTTTTAAGATTTTTCGTAAATTAATCTAACAATAAATACGTTTACACACACACACACACACACATATTGTATATATGTAGTATCGGGACTCCTCCATAACGCGTAAGTGGGTGATGCGAGAAGGTTAGGCAGAGGGCCTAGGTAGCTTAATGGTTAGAGCAGTCGCCCGGCAAGCGGAAGGTTCCGGGTTCGAGTCCCGGTCTAGTCACCCGAAGGCCCGATTCTTTTTCGCGGATCCCACATATATATATATATATATATATATATATATGTATATAAAAAGGTAAGAATCTTCTCTCGACCGTACTGGTAAATATTATTTATTCAATCACAACGTTTCGACCCCTTCTTTGAGTTCTTATCAAGTGATCTAGATATACATAGACAGAGATTAATACAATAAAAAACAAAATTACTTCACTAACAATATTACAAAATGATAAAAAGAAGCAAAATATACTTGTAAAATAAAAATAAAATTATAATTTTAAGATGTCAAGAATGAACATAGTGTCGGTTTGACAACACGTCAAAACTCTTAGACGAGTTATTGGAGACTAAACGACCTTTATTATTTTGTCGTAGATATTATTTAGATTGTCGGTATCTTTTTATAAATTAATAGCGTTATTATTTTTCTTAATAAAAACATTTCAGCGATTTCTCTTTTTCTTACGTGTTTTTACTATGCAAAATAACAGGCGAAATCCAGTCAAAATCGTGATCGAATTCACAATTTTATGTTTGCTAATAACTAATAAATTACTCGAATGCATTTTAATGTTGCTAAAATGTTCCTTTACACGTGTACAAAGATGTCTCTTTGTTTGTCCGATGTATGACACGTTGCAATCCTTACAATTAATTTTGTAAACTACTTCAGTTTTTTTATCTGTAGGCAGTCTATTCTTGCCGAGTGTAATTAAATGATTCGGTTTTTAGGAACATTATAAACAACATTGAATCCGATATTTTTAAAATTCAATCGATATCGCCTAAGCTATTAACATAAGGTAATGAAATAAAAGGAGACTTATCAACAATACTTCGCTCATTACTCGATTCATTCATGTTTCTGTGTTTTAAAAAATTAATCCTTCTATTAACCCAACGATCGATTACATGTTTAGGAAAGCAGTTATTAAATAAAATCTGTTTCGATATTAATATTCTCGTCGTGAAACTGGTCATTAGATAAGAGAATCGCGTGATCTACAAGATTAAAATTGTGTTTATTTTATATTTAAAAGGGTGATTGGAAAAGAAATTTATATATTTGTTCGAACACGTTTCCTTTTGTACCAATTTGTTACAAGCTTTCCATTTGACCGAGAGATCGTTCCCAGCAAACACAGTATATAAATGTTATATACTTAAGCATGTTACATGTAACGTATATGTTAGTTGTAATTTCCTACTCATAGATGTAACATTTTTAATATTACATATATTACATTGTAGTTATATTGTCATTATATCCCAAGATAGCACTGACTTATCAATACATCAATGTGCTATTTGGTATATAATTACAATATAACTACAATGTAATATATTTATATTAAAATGTTACATCTATGAGTAGGAAATTACAACTAACATGAATGTTACATGTAACGTACACGTTATATTACCTGTTATATTCCGTTTTATTATAGCAATGTAACAATTATATATCGGTGTCTGCTGGGTTGTATTCAAAAATTAATGCATCTGTCTGATTCCGTCTCATAAGTAAAGGTTAAACGGTGGTGATAATAATTATTAAAAGTATTAATTATTTCGTGGATTTTTGTCTTTGGAATAATAGCGAAAATATCGTCAACGTATCTATAATAAGTCGGAACATTGAAACTAAGTTGACTTAAACAATGTGTTTCGAGATCATCCATCACCATGTCTGCCAAGATGGGTGAGAGAGAAGATCCCATGGGACTGCCAAAGATTTGTTCATAATATTGTTAATTAAAGCTAAAACTAGTAGAATCTAAAATAAATTCGACGGCATATAAGAACTGAGCACGACTGAAATTCGTGTTTTGAGAAATGTCACTCCATCGTTTCTCAATAGCGCGTAAAACCAATTCTTTTGGAATATTAGTGTATGGGGCGGTCACATCTAAAGAAATCAAAGTATTATTGTCGTCAATGATTGTATCTTTTAGATTTGCGGAAATGTCCAGCCGTCCTTAACGTAAGATTTCGGTAACAAAATAGAACTATGTAAAATATTATGAATATATTTAGCAACATTATATACTGGACTACCTAATGAAGATACAATGATGCGTAGAGGAAATTCTTTTTTGTAAACCTTTGGCAGACCATAACACCGTAGTAAATTACCATTAGTGATATTTAAAGACTTATATGTGGAATCGTCAATCAAATCGTTATCTCGCCAGGATTTTATTAAGGCGTTGGTCTTTGTAGTTAGTTGTTTGTTCGGATTTTTCTTTAGTTTTTGTAAGTGGATTCGTCATTCAATAACGATTCCATTTTCTCCAAATAATCATTTTTACTCATTACCATGGTGATCTGACTCTTATCAGCCTTGGTGACTAAAATATCTTCATTATCCCGTAGAAATTTTTACAGAGCGAAAAACCTTGTAAGATGTATCTGTTAGAAAAGAAGAAATGTATTTATTTTCACATAAAACCTTTTGAGAGAATCAGCTACTGAAATTCTGGTGGTTTCCAATACGTCACTCGGGATGTTCCTGTGATTAATCTCTAAATTCTTTATGTTCTCCAGGACGATATTCATTCGATCTTTACTATTTGCGTGATCTATCGGCAAACCAAATTTGTCACCCAAGCTTAAAAAATCAGATACCTTATCCGGAATATTTTTACCACTAATGTTCACCAACCACTTAGAATTGTCAATGTTTTTGAACAAGTCAGAAAATGCGTTTTTCTTAGTGCACAATTTGTCAAATTTACTGATAGACTTATTTTTATGAGAGAGTTTAAATTTGAAAAGTTTCTTTTCATTTAACTTAAGAAACTCTTGAACAAGATTATGTGGCAGACATGTAAAGAGTTTCTCAACTATCGCTGTAGTGTTGCGGCGCAAGTATTTTAAATTAAAATTCGCGTTTTTTATTTCCAATTTTAGTAATTTATAACAATATCTATTAGTAATCTTCTCCATTTTGCGTTTTGTACTACTGCTTTTAAATAGTATGTTTGTTTTAAGATTAATAATATGAGAAGGAAGAATATCTGGCCTTCTACATCATAACAGAAAAATTAGTTGTTGGTTCACAGCAATAATCTTTTTCATATTATTTAATCCAAGTTTTCAAAAGTGTTGTATGATACGTACCGAATCTTCTCGAGATCATGCAAAAAATCCTTCCATTTGTGTGGGCTCCATATCCAAGTGCAGGAGCGTAAAAAAGTATGTTTCGCTTCTTTCTTTTTATCATTTTGTAATATTGTTAGTGAAGTAATTTTGTTTTTTTTATTGTATTAATCTCTGTCTATGTATATCTAGATCACTTGATAAGGACTCAAAGAAGGGTCGAAACGTTGTGATTGAATAAATAATATTTGCCAGTACGGTCGAGAGAAGAATTTTACCGTTTTTAAATTCTGTCTGGCGATTCTCAAATATCTACGTTCTTATAAAATATTAGCTTTAGTCATCTAGTGAAAGACGACGATGTAAAATTTTGTTGCAAATTTAACAGTTTTCCCCCTTCGAGAGATTTATTCCTAATTTCTTATACTTTTATTATTACTTCCGAAAAATATTCAACTTTAACAATAAGATTTATATCTTTAGTATTAGTCAATTCAGATGACAAGCTCGTATTTAAATCATATTATTATCTAAATTTTTATAACAAATTATTATTTTAAAATTGAGTTAGTAAAGTATATATAAGACTTATTAACTTTTTGTATATCTTCAACATATCTGTTTTTGTTTTTTTTTATATATTATAGATATTATTTAATCATTTGTATTATAATGGCACATTGACATTATAAAAATAATATATTGCTAATAATTTAAAGATTTTGTAATATTAATGGCACTTAATAATTAATTGTACTTTATTTAAATATGAAAAACACTCGACATGTTCAAGAACTTTAAACATATGATACCAATGTCATATATAATTTTTCTCGATACAAATGTGACGTAAGATTCCAGAATATAGAAGAATCTAATTGATATGCTATCACATAAAACGAAATGGATCATAATTTGGACGCGATTAAAAACATGGATTTTCATTAAATTATCAGAATTTAGATAATTCGAAATTTGACAATTATTGTCATAATTCACGCGATATTATCCTGTTGAATAAATATATTTTATCAATTTTGTCATTGCTTCAAATAATTTTACTTTACAAAATATTTTCACATATCTATATATGCTTTTATTTATACATACAAAAATTAATTAAAAATATACCAAAAATGGAATGTATTATGAATAAGATGCAAATAAATGTATACAATTGTACAATAATAATTATAAAAATGTTATCTTGATAATTAAAATAACACAAAAAGTTAAATTGTACAAAATATTTTTTAAGCAAAATATATATATATATATATATATATATAATATACTGTATATATAATTATATATATATATTAATATGTAATTACATATATATTAACATAATATAATAATATGATAATATAAATTTTTTATTACATCCACTAATTAGAGAAAAACTTTCCAAATACTTTTTCTGTTTATCTATTTGTTTAAATGTCGCAATACTTGGAATCTCAGACCAATCGTCTTACTTATCCATTGTTCATCAGCAAAGAATCGTTAACTTTGTATTTTAATATTTAACTTTGTATTTTAATATTTGATTCTTATGTATTGAAGAAAACTGTAGTGCAGTCGAAACGTTTACGCTGTATATTGTTTCTCTAACGGAATGAGAATTTAATTATTAATAAATCTTTAGATCTTATTTAATTTTGCTCGTTTAGTTGGCCTACAATATTTACTTTTTTAATTTTATATATATTCATATTTTGAAAAATGTAGTCATTAAATAATTCTATCATAAATGTTATAAAAACAATTATATCATAAATAATATAAAAACACAAAAAAGATTTATGAATATTTTGCTATTATATATATAAAAATACTTCTTGTCCGATCTAAATAATAAATTAATATATTTAAATGTAACTAAATATAAATTAAATGTAACTATGTAAAAATGCAAAAGAAGTCAAAATCACCTTGTTGATGATATTTATTCCTATGAAAGGTATTAAAACTGTGTTTATCCATGTAGAGTACAAAGGGTACGTAAAATTCAACACGTTAGAAAATCGTTCTTGCACTATTTTTTGTCCTAATAGATGTGCCACTTCAAATTTGCGCAATTGGATCTGAATGTTTGTTGTACAGAATATCTGATTCTCTAAAAATTAGTTTTCAAATAATACAATGTATATTTTAATCTTTATTAACATACAATTTGTGCGTATAATTTAAACTCTCCCTTTGTTTTCCATTTATTACATTATGTATGTCTATATTAAATCAAGTATCTGAAAGATATGTGCTTACTAAATAATTTTTACAATTAATTGGTATATATTTTTAACAAATATAAATGATTAAGAAAATGTCATATGTTAATGATTAAGAAAATGTCATATGTTACATATTTATTCTTTTATTTATTTATTTATTTGACTTTGTATTGACGGTTTAAAAATTGCGAAAGACACAGTACTTTGGTTTTCTATTTTCTCAACGCGTAGTGACTAAGATTCCTGCTAACAATCAACATCTATTTATTTCGTGCTTACTTCTGTCAGTTATACATTGTTCATCAAAACAATGGTTAATTTTGTCGGGGGTTTGCTGTGAATATGATTTATTGTATTAATCTGGTATGTAAACATATATATTTTTGTAAATTAATAATTATTTGTATGATTAAGCGCATTAAGAGTATATTTATATGTATATAACTGTTTATAGATTACTTGAAAAGGGCTGCAATGACAGCCGAAACGTTGTAATTTAACTAATTATTCAAAATAAATTATTGCCAGTCTGGGCGACTTTAAAATTGGAGGAGAGATTTTCATCATTTATTACTGGCGACTCTTAAGGATTATCATTTGATAAATGATTAATTTAGAAGTCTTGATCAATAAGAAAATACAAATTCTTTTAATATATCTATAAATCTTTTTATTGTGTGATGAAAGGTATACGGCGTAATAGAATATAAAGTGATATAAATATACATAAATGTATAGGACATTATAATTGTCCCATAGCCCATCGTTATTTATTAAAATACATGATTATAAAAATAATTTATTTCTAATATTTGAGAACTATAAAAACATGATTAAAAAATATGTTTAATATATATATTTTTGATAAAAATATAATTTTTATACACACCCCCACCCAAAATTAAATATATAACGGTATGCTGTTCTAAACATTATTAATATTTAGCTTTTTAATATATATATATATATTTTTTTTATTTATATATTTACTTATATAAAACAAGCCCAAAAGTCACCATGCGTTTACTTTGGAAAGGTATTGCTATATGCATTATTTTTGAATTCATTTCTGATCGTTTCCATCCGCTTTCTAAGCACAGTGTGACATTTAAAATAACTTCTTCTCCATATAATTAATGAGGTGGAGAATATCTGCTATAACACATGTGGATGGTCTCATTTTTCTCATGAGTACAGTACAGTTCGGATCGAATTACAACTGTTGTTACGAGATAAGTAGATATTGCTGGAGTAATATGGAAATGTGTCCACATAACATGAAATTTTCAATGATATTAATTTTTGAACTGGCATATTAGAGAGAACCCTATAATTGCGTCTGTGTAGTACAGAAATGGCAAAAGTCGCTCGCAATTCCGGATTGTCCCAACATGGAAACAATCGGCGAGCGCTAGTTGTCCCAAAGTGTGTTGCAGCAATCCATCTAACATGATTCAAAAATATATAAATAATAAGATAATATTTAAAGAATATTTCAGACTTATTTTTATATAATATATATGTAATATGCTTAATAATAATAATTTGGTTGCATTAAATATATAAATAATAAAATTAGAACGTATTATGTATATTTAATTAAATGTATTTAATTATAATGTATTAATGTATAACATATATTTAATATTTTATATGAATTTATTAATTATTTACCTTCCATTTTCCTCTCCTTTCACTGAAGAGATGCTCTAAAGCCTCCGTTATCAGCAACAGTACCAATAAATTTTATACGCAATGTATAGCGTCACGATGGCAACTCATTCACGAAAGAAAATTCGACGATTTGTTTCATATTATCATGTTAAACCGCCACATAATAATAATTTTAAATTGTCATAATTATATTTGCCTTTGATATCTGCAAACAGATTTTTTTTAAGAAAGAGGCAGAGATTACATAAATTTCAAAACTTTTTTTATCATATTATTTCCTATTGTATTTTATATAAAATTTAAAATTACACACAAAGAATATTGAAGTTATTTTTAATGAAAGATGTACTATTGGCTTGTTAAAATAATTCCGTAAAAAAGATGTTTAATATTTATTGAGCTTCATCTCTGTTCTATAAAATGATAAAAGTTATTATAATTTTATTTTTAATATGACAATACATATTTTATTTCCGTATATACATTGTAATTCGTACCATCATAGAAAAATTTCATGAACAACATATTATACGATTATATATAATTAAAACTTTGAGAAAATAAAACTATTCTCGTTATACTTGTATTTTAGGAATGTATAAATTTAATATTATTGTATGAATAAATTCTTTTTATATTTGTAGACAAATATTTTTACGTAAGTTCTTTATATTTTTTAATGACTTATATAATGCTAATGTTAATTTTAAAAAATATAATACTTATATAATACAAAGCTGAACATTTTTAAAATAAGTCGGAACAGTTCTCTCTAGAGCAAATTATTCTTATAATCACACAGTCATTATACCTAATTATATCTAAATACATGCGCGCGCGTGTGTGTGTATGTATGTCGTGTGTTTTAATATGGTTAGTGTGTGTTTATACAAAATAAGAAGTGAGAAAATATGATGGAAGAATAAAATGCGAGAGAGAGAGAGAGAGAGAGAGAGAGAGAGAGATCGACACCTTTTTTATATTTATTAATATTTTATATATTTATTAATATTTTTTTGGAAAATTTACATCTGTTATTAATTCTCCTCGTAAAATGTTTATATACTAAACAAATAAACACCGAGAATACAGTCAATATCAATTTTTAAATTATATTGCAAACTATCAAAATATATATCAAAACAGATGTGCCAACAAAACGATTCGAATTTATTAAAAATTCCTTTTTTCAACTAATTAAAATGTGATATCATACTCTTTAATAATAATTAGTAATTGTTGAAATTTTTATTGTTCAGCTTCTTAACATAATTTTATTTTCATTAAAAGTGTTGATGATAAAATCTTAAAAATTTGTTTATGACCAAATCTCTTTAATTTAAATGATTTTGTGCAACCAGCGCGCGAAAAGTCGTTCTTTACGCACATGATAAGATTTTAAAAAGGGCTCCCTCTCCACGCACCGGTCACACAAAATATCGTAGCCAACATGTGCAGGTCATAAATTGGTCGATCGTGCGAATTGTCACACTCGGCTTCGCCTCGTGCGCCAAACTTCCGCACTCTCGGCCGATTTACGATCCCCGGCACTTGTTAGCTAATTTACTATTATTCTATACATTTTCATCAATTTGTAATATTTTAAATTAGCTTTAATTGTATAATTAAAAATTATATGAATCATTAATTTTACCTTAAATGTCTGAAAAAATTTTACTTTTGATGAAGTATCATATTAAATTTATAAGAATTATTACTTAATGCATTTTTAATTTAATATTAAATTGCATTTTGAAATTGCCTTTTATGTATAATATTTTGTGTTTTCCGCTTGTTTCTATTTTATATAATTAATATACAATTCTACAATTATTTTTATATACTTTCTATATATTTATATTTCTATTTCATAAAATTAATTTCTTTAAACTTTATGTAATACATCGCCTAGTATATGTACCTATATTATAGTAGACGATATAAAATATTTAAAATTTTTATATTAAAATAGTAAAAAATAACTTTGATGAAGAAGCACATTAAGGTGTTTCTTATGTTTGTATTATTCGAAGGAGTTTTCAAACTGAGATTTATTCTTGTTTGCATTTTATATATTAAAAGCAGATTATTATAAAGTTTATCTAATGATTCACTATATATATATATATATACGGTGATTTTATAACACAAGTTGCATTACATACCTATATATATTCTTTAGAAAAATTAGCTTCAATCAGCTTCTCTGTCTCGTATCGTCACTGACTGTGGAAATATTTATCAACACTACCACGATCTTATAACTTCGAGAGACTTTCAATAACTGACAGCATTCGGTACACGACATCATAATATAATATTTGGTAGAACAAATTGTGCTGTCCAAGAGCGAAGCGGTTTACCGATCGCGATTGTACGACCGAGTATAATCTGCGCCGCATATCAAGAACCATTTCCAGGCTGGATAGATAATGTTTGCGGTATCATAGACACAGTCATATTAAATTAAATTTGCGATTCCATTTCGCGCGGATTGGCCGATTTTTAAAAATTAATTTTTATTAATTATATTACAAGATCGCAAAACGGTACAAGATTTTTATACTGGTTTTAACTCGTCTATTTCTATAACACTATAGTTTACAAAAAATATATTTTTTATTATTTTACTAGACAAGATGTTTTTCATAAATTTTTGTTGATAATGCCAAAAAAATAATGTCGTCAACAAATTTTCATTAGCACGTCAAGTTTCCGAAATAATTGAAATTTAATATGTAAAAAATGGCTTTTTTTGCAAGATTGGTGATTTTTTTGTAAAAAAAATTAACGTTATCTGGAAATTCTGATCAGATATCATAAATATACTGCGTTCATCGCCTATAAAATGCATTTTTAAACTTTTTTAAGTTATTATAATGAAAGTTAAGACATTATAGTTAAATTATCAAAAAAGAAACGAGCGTCTCTAATTAATTAATTTTTTTCTATAGTAATACACTCAATTTTATTAGGCTACACAAGCGCGCTTCGCGCGTGCTTTTGATTATTTCTGTTATTTATTTTACAACTGTCAAATTGTTAATCTTCGCAATGACGTTGCTTGGTGCTATGACTATAATTTTAATTCGCCGAATTTCTATTATGTACATAATTTTAATTTGTCGAATTTCTATTATGTACATAATTTGAATTCGCCGAATTTCTATTGTATTGTTTTAAAACTATTTTGCATATCTTTATATATTTTTTTCATTTCGTTTAGTTAATCGAACATAATTACGTGCGAAGTTATTATCCTTTGATAAAACCTTCAAAATTACTACGTATGTATAAAATTATTATTGCAATGTATGCATAAAAATATATTTATTATTTACGTGATTTATTCAATTCAATTCAATTCAATTCTTTATTCGTCCCCTGAGGGATTGAAGGCGCTTTTGAAGGAGCGTTCCCCAACCTTACAAAAACTCTTACAATCTTACTTATATCTACTCTTATCTCTACTCTTACATCTAATTTACAAATAACTTAATTCTACCTTAACCTACTTATCTACTACTTTAGAGAGAGAAAGAGCCGTCCCTACCTATCGCTTCGCTTCGGCTTCCGATCCCCATATATTCTCCACCACCTCATACACTACCTCACTCATTCTCCTCCTCATACTTC